CTCAGCCTAAGGACATCTACGGGGTGAAGGTTTTTGGCTTGTTCTAAACAAACTTACAACCCTAGATGACCTGAGGCCGAAAGCTCGGTATCCTATTTTTGCTTTATTCAGACATATGAAATACAGCCATCTTCATACGGTTGACCATCTTTAACTTTGTGCCATCATGCCAGAAAACCTTCGTAACCTAAAACTTCATTTGTCGAGCCGAACCTTTCAGCATAAGATATGGGCACACGATTTGCATCGTGTATTATTCAATATTAACGTGACCAGATCATCTAGAAACTTTGACGCTTCCATCACATTCCCTTTTCTCAATTTTCAAAAACGACTGTCTCACGAAATTGCTATTACGAAAGCAGTTTGATAGCATGCTATGAAATCATACTTCGAAGAAAAATGAACATAACAAACTTACCACAGCGTATTTTTCTCATGGCACTTCCAAATGTCCTAATCGCTCGCGTCACCTAAGAGAAAAAGCTGCACACCAGGTGTAAAAGTTGACAGAACAATTCACAAACTCATGGCAATTAGCACGCATCGGAAGATGTCGGGCGTCCCTTAATGTGTGGATAAAATGTCTTGTCGGTGTCCTCTAATGTACGGCATGCTTGGACTACCACCACGTTGTTTTGAGAGCAGTAAGCAAACTGACAGGACAGTGAAATTTATTTTACGCACAAAGTTTGTCTTAAACACTGTGATGCCAGTTTTTAACTATAAATGAAAAGGAAGAGAGTGAAATTTTAATCTGTATATCACTAAAACGTGCTACAAATGTCATCCCTCTACCTCATCTCAACAGGCCACAAGTCATATCTTCTAAAATCGCAGGCATGAACTGATGGCTTGACACTGACGGAGTAAAAATATTAGATGTTTTAAGTCATGGGAAGCGCCCTAATTTCACTACACTACACAAAATGACAACCACTTTTCGAAAGCGTCACAATCGTCACGGTATCACAACCCGTATTCAAGAAGCAAAGGCAGTCTCGTAAATGGTGTTTACAGTTTTAAGTGGATACATCATGCCATAACACGGTATAAATACCACATCGTAGCTTTGGACTGATCCAAATTTCCTTCTCACCACCATTCCTGCTCGATCCCGACACCATCGCCGTGCCCTTTGTGTGACGCTGCGTACAAGCAGGGTAGCAATCGCACGTTGTCCACAAACATTTGTCCTTTCATTGACCACAAAAAATTGCACCAATGATGTCCAGAAAGTCTCTTTACATGTAACATAGCCTGCTGACTGCAGTCATCTGCTCATCTGACGTAATATGTTCACATCAAATTATTTTTTTCACACGGACCTGTTTGCAGATACATGTTTTGGAAGAAATGGAAAAGCAGACAGATTTAACACGTTTGTGAGACATGCATGTTAAAACTAATAGAAGGCACGGCCATGGTGAAACGTATGTATGTATCATATGTAAGAGCCCTATTATTGCGTTGGTAAATTGCACATTCCTCAGGGGTAAATAGACCAACTTTATGCTACTACTGTTCTAGTTTCGAAAACTGCTACGCATTTGATACACCAGTAACTGCAAAACTGTCTCGACAAGTGAACAAGACAAGAACAATGAAAGATACAGAGTTTCCTATTCATTTCCTTGAGATGTGTTGTTGACTGAGAGTTGTGATGTGTGGTGTGTGAATGAAACAAAAAAGTTTGTGCGCGTTTCACCCTCACAATTACAGTCCAATGCGGTATGTAGTTTTATTTGAATGACCCATCGAACTACTCCTCGATTAAATCAGACAAGGTATGAAAATTTGTGTTGTTAACATGACTTTTTCAGTGAACGCTTTACCGGCAGTTATTAAATTTGTGCAACCCGGTTTACTAGTATATTTTATCTGCTAAGGTTTTGATGTCACTGGCGCCGCCGCTGTAAAAGGGAAGATAAGATTTTTCATAAATGTATTATTTGTGGCTGCACTTTCTGTTATTTGCATGGTTTTGAAAGCTAAAAGATTGCATAATACCTTATTTTGCTCATAACTTTTGACTCACATGAATCCGCCAAGTCTCGCCCACAACAAGTTCCGCGAGCTCACGTGGGTCAGATTTTGACGAGTTGACGGGTTGAAAGGTTACGTCTCTAGTTTACACCGAGCCCGGCGCGCATGCACCACCGCCGACTCTACTCGCACGCACCACTGCCGATCATGCGTGTGTACAGATCCCGTCTCACGCGTACCGAGCCCGTACCCCTTGTACAGGGGCCGCGGCACGGGCGCAGCCGTGGCCCGGTGGCCGGCGGCCGGGCCAAATTCGGAGCCCGCTATCTGGCGGTCGGACTCGCCGCCGATACCGGGGAGAGCGATGCCGTTGTCAGGGGGACGTGACATCAGCGACACCTCCGCAGATAATCAGCGGCCTGCTGGGGCACCGCCGGCCGTCCGCGCCGAGCGCGCCGCCATACATGGCGCCGCTGGCGACGGTCGCCAAATGCGCCCGCGCAGCGACCGGCGTCCGGGCCCGGTCGCCAGATCTGTTGGCGGCGGTCCGTGCCGCGGTGACGTTACCGTTACCTTCGCCGTTTGCGTACGATCGTGCCAGGCCCTTTCCGGAGGGTGTCACGTGAGTAGCCAGATTATTCTAGTGAGCTACTTTGAAGGACTAAAGCTGAAGTAATTCACGGGAGCACAGAAGAGTGCTGGAAGTGAATGGGGAGACATAAGCCTGCCTCTCCCCACGGAGTTGGTTTGGGGACTCCACTGGGTTCTGGCCGCCGATCCGGAGCCCTGGCTTAGTCGAGGCACATCAAGTCATAAAACTGAGGCCCGTTGGCAGTGTCCGGTAATAGATCAGTTTTTGTTCAGTTAATAAAAGGAACGCTCTGAGAAGTGTTTGAGAGTGATCCAGCCGATGGGTCTCTAGAATGCAACAGAGATTTTGCCGATGAAGAACTCTCGTCTTGGTGTTCAGTTTTACATGACTATGATCAATGCTCGGTGTTATGGCACGGAAGAAACACGATGTTGGCACGTACTGAATACCCTTTTAATCAGAATACAGGAAGATATCGTCAAGTGGCTGTCTGCTCCCGCAGCTCCATCGCCTGCCTTACAAGTCACCCATGGCGGCACCTGGCTTCGAGAAGCTTTGAGCGCTTGCAATTTGCCCCTGACTGGGATGGCCTGCAGCAGGTGGCGGCGGCCGTTCTATATCAGATTGGGTCAGAGAGCAGGGCAAATCGTGCCGAGCATTGCGGCACGTTACACTCTCGCCACAAAATTCTACTGAATGCCGGCCAGCGTGGCGGAACTTTGCTATCAGATTGTGGGGTCAGGGTTCACAAACAAGCACTGCTTAGCGTGAGCTCTGATCCCAGAAATCCACCCAATCAGAAAGGTTCGGGCTAAATTGATAAAAGCAAAACAAATTAATCCTCTAAAACATCCTCTAAGACGAAAACGCAATGGTTGAACAGACATGCCGGCGACCAAAACCGGGGGCACCAGGTGGTCGGCTGGCGCTCGGCTACGGCGATCGTCACGTCCCAATCCGGACCAGAAAGGAAACGAAAACGGGGTTTAACGCTCGGCCGCCCGGGGGATTGCAATCGCTCCCACTCTGATTTTGTGGGAAGACTTCTGCAGCGATCCAGATCGTTTCGCATTCGCTAAAACAACACATTCGAGGAACGATCATTTTGGTCCTGGGTCAGGTCACGAAAATGCGATGTCATTTCTGAAGGAAGCCCAGCCGTCTGCGCTTCTGGAGACAACGTTATGATATCGCCCGTCATAGCTTGAATTGCTCAGTGAATCACACCAACATTGCATCATCGTTACATTAACTTTGCATTAGTTAAAAGATACCAGCCAGGGTCGATCGCACGATACGAGCCCGCGTCTGGTCATCATCATACGTGACACGCTAGGTCCAGACCTTAGGAGGACATCATTTTAATGACCATGGTGTGAAAGACATAGGAGCATTATGGCTAAGCCACAGGATCTCAAAGACATCAAGCAATTTTCACTTAAATTCGCTAAAATGTGTTCGCTTAAATGTGTTACGTGATTTTTTAACCATTATCCTGTGATAACAAACGGAGGGGCAACAACTCTACGAGGATCACTGCTGGCCGAACACCTCAGGCGGTGCCATGGTGTTCACAGCACACTCATGTATGTTATGGATGCCGAACAACTACCGCTCACTTCGGTGCAGCTCTACCTCATACGCGCGGCCACACTGCAGCTGTGTCGCGCGAGTTATTTAACAAATGGCTTTTGTCTATGCATGTTAAAGCTTGTTCCCTGAGCTTCCAAGCACCAACGCTAAATTTTTAAGCAATAGATGCTGTTCAAGGCTTGAAGCATTTCAATCAAATCATCATTTCAACCGTTTCAATTTCCCACCGCGCACCGCAGCGCACCAAGCGTCATGACAGAGCCTCTCGTCAGACCTCGGAAAGCCTCGTATTAAACCAAATGGCCGCTTGCAGCACCACACGACGTGCCTCTCACACCCCATAATATAGCCTCTCACCGTGCCGAATGACGTAAGTTTTCACGTCTCACAACACGGCCTCTCACTAAGCCATACAATAGTCTCTCACACTGCACGAAAATGCACAACACATAGCCCACACTCACTACCGTAAGACACTCTCTCACCGCTCCCACGGCACCAAACGGCGCAACGCTCGAGCTCGGCCAGACAGCGCACTGCAGCACGCTCAGTACACCCTCTCACCACACCGGCAGGACTCCTAACCCATCCGGCGCTAGCGCTAGTGCTTACCTCACCACACCGGCAGGACTCCCAGCCCAACCGGCGCCAGTACTAGTGCTTACCTCACCACACCGCCAGGACTCCCAGCCCATCCGGCGCCAGCGCTAGTGCTTACCTCACGACACCGCCAGGACTCCCAGCCCGCCCGGCGCCAGCGCTAGTGCTTACCTCACCACACCGCCAGGACCCCCAGCCCACCCGGCGCCAGCGCTAGTGCTTACCTCACCTTTGCGACGGCTTGGAGAAGAAGAGGCCCTTGCTGAAGGTGCGCGCTGGATCGAACGGGTGCATCCAGCTGCCGTGGAAGTGAGCGCGTGAGACCAGCAGCAGTACGGGGTTGTCGGCCAACGCCGCCTCCAGGTCCGGCAGCTGGCGGACGCCAGAGCCGACGGGCGAATCGGGGCCGGAGCCGGAATCGGAGCCGGAGCCGGATCCGGCGGCGGACATCAGCCAGGTGGCCAGGTCCTCCTGCGCCGAAGGTGCTCCGAGGTTGAGATAGTTGACAGAGCGGCGGTAGAACTCGTCGAGCGCGCGCGCGTAGACGTCTGCCGGCGTCACCCCGTTGGTGAGCAGCAGGTCGGCATCCTCTTGGAAGTGGCGGTAGTAGTAGGGGTTGTCCAGCACTTGCGTCACCTCCTTGAAGGCGCGCTGCACGCTCGCGTAGCTGATGTTGTGGAAGCGTAGGACAGCGCGCAGCTGCGCCGACGACAGCGACTCTGAGCCTGCGCCGAGGAACAGCATCGACAGCAGCGAGAACACCGAATACGGCGAGATCAGCAGGTTCTGCTGCCGGTCGTCCGTCACGTTGGCCAGCGTGCCGTACATGTTCAACGTGAAGTCGAAGTGGGCGCGCGACAGCAGCTGCAGCAGGTCAGAGCTGGCCGTGCAGCTCCAGACGGCGACGTAGCTGGCCAGCAGCAGCGCCAAGCCCCAGCGCCGAGAGGAAGCCAGCGACGGGATCATGGTAAGCCTGCGGGGAGCGACACGCGCCCTATCAGACGCGGTGACGCTGCGACAGCGCTCAGGCACGGCGGCATCCGTCCCACGACATGACACCGATGCAGTGCCAACGGTCATATCAGGTGACACTAGCTAGACACGGCCGCGGCGCTAAGACATGATGTAGCGACAGCCACGGCGGTGCTGACACTGCAACGCCTGTCATACACCGGGGCCAGTTGGCGTTGATGAGACGCGGCAGCCCAACCAGCAGCCTGGTTTCGATCCCAACCGGGATATTTCGACCGTTTCCCAACTTTCTGGCTGAGGAATGACTAAGATGGGCGCCGAGAGTGTGATGCTTTGGTTGAGAGTGCCAAGCTGCTCCGAGCCGTTTCGCAATGTTTCCCAAGGCGACGTGTCCGGAGCGTTCCTCGAACCGCTTAGAGGAATTACGCATCGGAAAATGTTCCACCCTATCGAGATTTGCCTGCTTTTCCTCAAACGGCCGGCCGAGCGTCTCCCGAGCCGCCTTTGGTGAAGACGTACTGAAACATATTTTTCGACAAGTAAATCTCGAGCATACCGGCCAGGATGTCTCTGGAAATCCCAAGTTTCCCCAAGCGATGACCGTTGGCAAGGGTTTGATCGGAGAACGCTTAGAAAATCGCAAGCATTTCTCAGGCAGGTTTGGGAAAGTCGGGGTTTTCCAACTTTTCTCCAACCTTCCCTGACCTTTCCCAACCTTTCGCGACCTTTCTCCAACCAAATGACTGGGTGGGGACGCCGACCAGGCATCAAGACATCGTGACGCCGGTCAGGTCAGACACTGTGACGCCTTTCAAGCACGGCGCCACCGAAACAGTTACGACAGTGCGACACAGTTGCGACAGTGTGACGCCGTAGTGCCATGCCGGTGGGGCGCCACGGAACTGACGGTCCGCGGGTCCGGTTACGTGGGACCGGCGCCGGAGACTGAGACAGCGCTCGTGCTTACCGGTCAACTATCACAGATTGCCCTTGCACTAGCTGTTGGGATCCACACTTCGAGAATCGATAGCTGCTTCCCAACTCCCGCGAGGTTCTCCCGTGTGAGGTTATAAATTTCAGCCTTAAAGCTGCAGAAAGTGGTACAATCTGCGGGAGCTGTGAACTTGTTTTGTTTTGTTTTGGGGTCCGATACTGTACACAAGTGTTCCGCACAAACCGGGAAGGGAATGCTCAGCGTAGCTGACAGGAATTCATTCAGCAGCGCCCGGACGCTCTCGGGACACCATATTTTGAGGAAGGCATATTGGATTCCATTTCCGTCACACGGATGGCGGGATGTCTCAGTGCGAAGCCCCTGTCTGCAGCTCCGAACCGGCTGACCATGGCTGCGCCGTCTCCTGACTGTAGCCATCCCGCGCGGGCAGGGCATCCTGATTAGAGAGTGGACGCACTGAATAACGCCCCGTCATCTTTCCATCTATTCATTCGGCCACCCAAGTGTTAGTCGGAGGGTTTATTACGGCCTGCATTGGCATGAATGAATGCCAAAGCAGAGGCGCTCGGACTTGCATGAATCGTGCCGCTCCCGTTACGGAAGTGCCAAGATCAAACAGCTTGAAATTCAAATATCACCTGGTTGGGAATCGGTGGTGAGTCCAGGACTGATAGCATGCAAATACTGCGGCTGAATAGGGTAGTCAGGACATGGGCCATTCATTCATTTTGGCCGTGGGGATGGAGACCCTAAGCCAGGTACTCGGCTGAATTCTGATAACGTTGAGTCAATTTTTTTGCCGCTCGGAAATAAACCGACAGCAAAAGCCAGATGTATCACGAAGGCATGCCGCTTAGTCTTTCATTTGAACGCGAATCTGGCGGCGCATGACCAAAAACCCTGCCGAAGCAATAGACCAATCATGCCGCCCGATTTATATTTGCGCCCCTCCTCCCTTTCAGGAGTCCCGACAGACAGGGCGTCGCTGGAAATCCCGGCGGAGTTGGCCTGCCGCCAGAAATTGGATGTGCTGCGGTCACCACTTCGGAGGTCGGTTGTCTCCGTCCGGCGCGGCCTCGTCCGGCCTTTGCCGGCCGCTACGCGCCCCGGTGACGTCAGCCAGTGACGTCACAGGGGCGCTCCACCCACCGGCGACGCGGCCGGCACCGTCGTCTAGCAGCTACCGGTAAGAGTGCCGGCGAGCAGGCGCGGTGCTGGGTGGGAGGAGACCGTCACCCAGCGATGGACTTCCCCCCGGTTGCGAATCGGCTGTCCACCGGCCGACCGGCCGGCGGGCAGCCGATTTTAGTGCTACATAGTGGGTTTAGTACACTTGTATTATCATTTTAAAGCTATATTTAGTTATCATATTTTTCATTTTAATACATTTAGCACGCCGTTTCTCATAATGCGGGCTAATATAGGGTGGAAAGTGTGATACGACTACGCCGCCGTCTCCAAATTGCTTGAATTAAGAGTCCCGCAAAAAAACAACGGTGGATTAATCTCGACGACATATCAATGGTTCTAGGCGAGTAATGGATGCTAATAGGTCAGATCAAAACCCTTTTCCCTGAAAAACGACCTGTTTTGGCTCTCCACGATAATATTTATGAACGATGTCAGCAGCACCATTCAAATTTAAACAGACGTGTTCTTTGTTTATTTCTGGGCACTGTTGTATGCAGTGTGTGGTTGGAGCATACACTTACGCCGCAGGGTTCCGTTAATGCAACAGTGAAGCCCACCGCCCGCGATCGGTTGATTCGTCGATTGTCGACATGGCTTGTAATGCTCGTAAAAACGTCGAAACGCAGACAACAGAAATGCTATAGACTAGTTTTGGTGTCAAAACACGTGCCATGAATGCCTTACAGGCTACCGGAAATTTGGGCGGGATTGCGCGACCTGCTGGAGAGATATTTCTAGAAAACCCCTAGGGGAGCATCAACCCGTCCCTCCCTTAGCGCAAGTGTTGAGTCTTTTTCTTATCTACGTTCCTGGGTCTCAGCCCTTGCGTACCATTCCCAAAAACACCAATAAGATCCTCCTATCCAGCAAACCGCAATTGCATCATGCATGTTTTTACAAAAATGTTTTCAAACGTTTCGGAGGCCTTTCCAACCGAGATTTCATCGCAGGTGCTGTGTCCTAAGGAACAAACTCGAATAACTGGTTGAAATGTTTTAACAAACATAGCAGCGTACTCTTTCGTGACAACGGCTAGTGTCTTAGATACCTGTTTGTCCCAAAACTGTCGTATAATTTGTTTTATGTAACCGGCCCAAAACTTCATCCGTTTTCATAAGTTTTTGGTCAACTGAGTTTTCACAATTTGATCGACGTCACTTTTCCTCACGTTTGAAACGCGAAACGAACTAAAGGGCCTTCAACTTTTCACTAATCTTTAAAAAGCGTTCGGACGGAGTCAAATTGCCCCCCCCCCCCGAGGATTTTCCCAAAATGGTTTCCGAACGGAGGGGCGTGGTCGCGCCAAATTTTGTATACGCGTAGACAATTTAATCGCGGATCGTTTCGCATCAGTAATTTAGATGTACCTTGTAAGTTCACTGAAGTATGGCGCATATAAGTCAGGCCACAGCTTCAGCAAAGTCAATTTCAAGGGAATCGTTCAATCTGATGGAACAACGGAGTGTTAGAGGAAGCCATACATCTCTGAGACACTTTCTTAGGCAAGAGGCCTAGGGCCAGATATTATGGTTACACCAAGGTCCAGACCAGCCTGTGTTATTGCTCTAGGGCTTGCTCTGTGCTGTACTTTCTGGTGCTCATTTCGAATTTATTAATCACAGGAACCTCATCAGACATCTTCCATGGACGTCTTATAGGTCAGAATAGGTCACTGAACTAAAATGACCCATGTCAGCATTTCATTTTTAGGAACACACTGCCTAGCCTAACCTTTGTCGCTTATTCAAGTGCAAAATTCAAAGCAGTCTTCCATGAGTTTGGCCCCCATGACCTTCGAAAGGTCAGACAAGGAAGTTCACTGACTTTGTATAAGCATGTAACCTTTTGCTTAGGGCAGGTATCTAAGTATTGGGGACACTTTTGAGACCAAATCGGAGTTTGACATTGTTTGACCTTATTTGACCTGAGTTTCATAACCTAGAAGGATTAAGCTTCGACCTAAGTGAGTTCACGTACAGACCAATACGCCCTATAAATTTAGCGTCTTTAGCCCTCTTAGGTCTTGAGATCTCAGGGGGGTCAAATTGACCCCCCACCCGAGCAAAAGGTGTTCAACCGGCCACCAGGGTGTGTGTTAAAATATTATATAATAGGTTATCATAATGCCTTCCTTCAAGACATACACACCCTTGTAGTGCAAAACGGATCCTGTGACTAGCATTCCACTTGATACCTGAAGCTCGTTCTTTTTTCCCCTCGGCCCATAAACGGCCCGTAAACTCGTAATCAGCTGAAAACTGCGCACAGCAAGCCTGGTGTTCTCTTCGTAAGGAGCTTAGACTTATTTGGAACATCCCACTATCATACTGTCAGCTTCAAAGCTTATTTAGACCAAGTGCTGACCGACACCTTACGTAATCCCCTCTGATTAAATCGGAACCAAGAATGCAAATATCTTAGACAGCTACCGAAGTTCAGCAACTCCGGAATCTAAGCTGAGATTAGAAAGTAATTCCGTGATACCAGCAGTTGATCACACAGGTACACCTAAGGTGATTTGGACTGATATTCAGTAACATTAGTTTACTTATTTGCAGTAGATATGCAAGGCCTTTCTCCAATTGGTTTTTGCATGCTCATTTTTCAAGATAAGAGTGTCCAGGAGTCTACTGTTGTCAGGAAACGGTGGAAAAACGTCTGTCTAACGACGGCTAAATGACTAAAGCATGCCGAAGACCAAGCAATTGCAGATTCATTTCAGCCTAAGTTCGCTCGGAACAGAGCTTGTCTGACATTGTTGCCAGAACGCTATTTTCCTCGAGCACCGCACAATGAAAAGTGCTTTCAAGTTCATCAACACGATCAGTTGCATAAAATCGACCGCAGA